TTGTCCGTTTAGGGCTACTGTAGAAGTTTGTTTGTTTCTGTATGTCAGTGCATTTCAATGTAATGAGACCCGCGGAGTATGTAGATAGAAATGGCTCATTTTAAGGTAATAAAAACATAACAGTTCATTAAGTGAGATATACACCACTGAAAACATAATTATGTACATGATATTGCATTTCTGTCAACAGATCCTCCTAAATATTACACAGTGCACCTTTAATTAAAATGACAATTAAACATTTAATTTAATTTAATTAGAAAATGATTTCACTGAAATGCAGTTTAGAAGAACAAATATTTTTTGTAATTGTCAAGAAATGTTAATTCCTCTGAATTGATGACATTAATACTAAATGTATGTATATGTATATGTCAGTGTATGTATTCAGTATTGTGAAGAAAGAATCGTACTGTTTGGATAGGTTTTGAAGAAAGTCAACCAATAATAAGTTAATAAGAGGGCGGGGACAGCGGGGTCAAAACCTAAGACTGACAGAAGAGCATATGGCACACAGAAACAAACAAAAGCCATGTGCTCACACAAACACACAAGACAAGACAGAAAAGCACATAGCAAACAAACATGACCATAGCCATGTGATCACAGAAACACAAGCATGGATGTCAGGACCCCAATGCTCAAACAGAACCGAAACTAGACCCAAGTATCAGGACCCAGACGCCTAACCCCAAACACTCCTCAGGATCCTGTCACCAAACTAATAATAGGACCAATCAAGGTGACAGGACTCTTAAGTACAGTAACACACTGTATTGATAATGAGAAACATCAATCAGTGCTTACCTTAAAGATTAATAACAGCTTACCCATATAAAATTATGTTGTATTTGTCGATTATAGTCATTAACTGACAGTCTATCTGTAAATGTGGGGAAAATGTGTGTTTATCTATTTCTTAGCCAATCAGAACCATTCAACCTGAATCAATGACGTAGCTTAAATCTTGGTGTAGGGTAATTGCTGTGATCTTTGTTACTGTTAGAGAGGTGGCCTACAAACTCCTTGTGAGTCTTCTTGAAGCTGACTTCTGCCTGGTGAAACTGCAAACTATGTGGGTGTAAGTTCTGGAAAAGTCATGGAAATTTGTTTAAATATATTTATTTATTAGAATATGTTTCGTGGTAATATTGGTTAAACAAACTACAATATATAATGTTCATTCAATCTATCCGACTGCAGCGTTTCTATCAGATTTTGAAACTTGCGAATTCTCCCATCATAAGCAACAAAGTGCAAATTCAATGCAAGAGATTCATGTTGCAGTGTAGTCAGTTTTCATGATTTTACGGGAGTTTTGTGAGTGCTTAAAGTCGGCATGAAATGAAATTTGACAAATCTTCTTTTTATATGTAATTTTGCAGTGTTTATTATAAATGATTTATCTGTGCACTTCATTATTTTTTTTAATTCATGTACCCTTATAATCTTTAATCAAATACATTACCCTTCCCTCCCCCATCGAAACGACCTCTCTTCTATTTTGGTCACGTGGAATGGTGAAAGGGTGCGGCCAGATCCGATGAGGGTGCGGCTATCGGTGCACCGCCTGTCAGAGAATCGCATTCAAATCTGCCTGCATTTTGTTTGCAACGCCCAACCTCCATTGATCCAATCAATTCCCGAAGGACGAAATCAAGCCCTGCCCTACATTTTTTTTTCTAATTTCAGAAGCCGTTTTACTCGGATATACGTCACAACAAGGAAAAATTGACAATCTCAACTTCCGTTTACCGCCAACTTTAAACTCGCGCTAGACCCAAGTTGCCTCGCGATCGCTCCTGGCACTTTGTATTTAAAGCACGAGCGCTTTTATTTGGTGTACGCGAAAGTAACCAGCTGTGTAGAATTGGCTGGGTGTCTATATTTCATATCATATGCACGCAAAAATTGTGTATAATAAGTACGCTAAAAAGGGCATATTGGATGTATGTAAACGGTCATTTATGTGTCTAAAGAGCACGCAAGCATGATCTTGTTAAGATTGGACTCGATCGGTCACATTCTCTGCTCTCTTTCTGTGTACAGTTTATTCCAGTCATATAATTTATTCATCATGCTGATAAGATTATGTCTAGCCTATATTTTCTAATGTGTAAAAAGCATTCATATAATTCATAAATGGTTATTATGTTGTTTTATGTGTAGCCAGAATATGATGTGCAGTTTCCCCAAACACAAAAACATTTCTGTAGCCTATTCCTATTATAGAAGTTTAGGAATAGGCTAGAAGTCCCTGTAAAGTCAAAATTACGTATGTGTTCTGAGTTTGTCACACCACAGAAAAATGTGTTATTAGCCACCCAGCCAAATTTGAATGATAAAAAAAGCCAGTAAGTACATAAAATAAGCTATCAAAATCATGAAAAAACGAGCAGTTATCTCTATATCGCTGAAACCACGCCCACTCGCGGGAAAGCTGTTGACGGTGATATTAACTAATACTGCTTTCGGGACGGGAGGATGAACGCTGAAGCGGGAGATAGTCGGTTCGGCCCCGTTCTTCAGTAACAGCGGATTATCAGTGAATCCCAGTTGTCTCTGAGGAAAGTTTATAAAACTATCCAGTGTAAAATGATCGCTTCAGAGGCGGGTGTTGACGGTGATCCTCAGCTCTTCACCAAGGTTGGTTCTCTAAAAACCTCTTCTTGATGTGATCGTTATTAGGGAATTTAAATAAAGATACGGATCGATTTTGTACATGATCGCATCCAGGTAGTAGCCTATGCATTTCTGTGTTGAAGGCATAGTTAGCTAGAAAACTGTAGGCTCAGCTGTCCCCAAAGATGTTAAGACATCCTGTTTTGTATTACTAGAAATAAATTATAGCTGTTAAATATATTTCCATGTGTCACTCTTTGTAGTTCATGCAGTAAATGGCTGATTCAGGTGTTTAAAAAACAGACTGCTTTATGCTGGGTTAGTGCTGGGCGGTATACTGGTTCATTCCGAATACACGGTATACCGGTTCATTCCGAATACACGGTATACCGGTTCATACCGACTACACATTATACCGGTTCATTCCGAATACACGGTATACCGGTTCATTTACGAATACACGGTATACCGGTTCAAACCAAATACACGGTATACCGGTTCATACCAAATACACGGTATACCGGTTCATTCCGAAAACACGGTATACCGGTTTATTCCGAATAGACGGTATACCGGTTCATACCGACTAGACAGTATACCGGTTCATTCCGAATATACCGGTTCATACTGACTACACAGTATACCAGTTCATTCCGAATACACGGTATACCGGTTCATACCAAAAACACGGTATACCGGTTCATATCGAATACCGCAATACCGGTGTATGTCGCTTTAACGTAGATCGGAATGCGCCGCGACACTGTTTGAGAGAGGGTCACTTTTCACTGTTCCACTGTGGCGAGGGCACAGCTGTATGTGTTACTAAGCGTGGATAGGTCTATTTGTGGTTGGCATTGACTTTGTTGAATAAACATGAGCACTGCATGTTTCAAAGTCAAAGCGCGGCACGGGTGTTTTTATATGAATGTATCTAAAGTGAACTTGACTGTCTTTAGAAAAGTTTGAAATTTGTGAAATTTTTACAAATACCGTGATATAGATTTTTGGTCATACCACCAAGCACTACGCTGAGTCTTCAATAAATTCGCACAATCACATCCCTTATTATGGGAAGTGCGCTATATGGCATTTGAACTTTGTTCCCTGCTGAAAAAAACAATAGAAACCATTACAGAAATGGTAATGGTTTCCACTACAAAACAATTACAAACCATCAGCCGTTAACCATTAAAACCATTACAAAATGGTGTCCATTACGTAGTGTTTTGGGCCATATTCTATTAGGATGTATTGGTTTTTTATAGGTTTCCATTACAAATTTGTATCGGTAATGATATATTTAATGGTTTCAGTTTGTATTGGTTCTGATTTGTAGTGGTTTCCATTACAAATGTATTGGTCATGATTTGTATATATTTAATGGTTTCCATTACAAATTTGTATTGGTCATGATTTGAACATATTTAATGGTTAGGACAACCTATGTGTGTGGGTCAGGTTTTGACCTGATCACTCCCGACAAGAGCTGTTAAACCTGAAATCACATGGGACCGATGTTTTGACCAATGGCTATGACCAGTTTTTAAAAACTGTATCTAACCTATTAATCATGTGTAGCCTACATTAAATCATTATTATCAAACCAAAGGAAACACTAAATTTATTGGAGTCCTAATGGTTCATAATGGTGTCCAGTACACATACCAACATGTAACCTATAATTTTCAAAGATGTTCTATTGGTCCTTAATGGTATCCAATAGAAAACATATACCACCAATAGAAGAAAGCAAATTACCAATAGAGACTTACTAGGACCATCACAGTTTCAATTAAAAGCAATACAGCGAAAAAGACAAAACATGCCACCAATCGAAGAAAGCAAATTACCAATAGAGACCTACTAGGACCATTACAGTTTCCATTAAAACCAATACATTTCCCTTTATAACCATTAAAACCATTAGGAATTCTGTAATGGTTTCTATTGTTTTTTTCAGCAGAGTTGGCTGAAGACCCAAGTTTGGTTTTGAAGATGAAAAACGTACCAAGCACAATGTTATATCACAATTCTTGATTTTCAACACACACCGTCTTCTGCCTGGTATAATGCCAAGCAGAGCAGAAACGAAAGCTGATTCTCTCCGGCCGCGTTCATATGTAAATTGTGTGAGGTTATTTCATCCATTAGACTGAAAGAGATGAAAAAGCCCATACATTTACCCCGTCCATAGACCCTCCCAAATCAGGGCAGAAGACGTTAAAGTGGACAAAAGAGACTTGGTGATTAAAACACCAGGTGTAAACAGGAATGTCTCCCTCATCTAAATGTGATCGGTCAACCAAAACCATCTTATTACCAGGTGTAAACAGAGCCTAAAGATCAAATGTGACACCTCTTTATATGCGTTACAGGTGAACTGTCTCGGACGGGAGGTGGCTGAGCTGGGACGAGTCATGCGTAGTCTTGCCTGTCTCATCGAATCCATGATGGCCTCTCCTCAAACACCAGGTGTCTGTACATCCACATTTACCTCGGGACATCCCTTTCCTCCTATCCCCTTCCAGGGCCAAGGTTCTTCCTGGGCCACCCCACCTTTTCCTTCACCGATACTCCCTGGAATACGTCAGGGAGAACTTAGGCCACTCAGGCCACAAGAACTGCAGCTGGTCTGTCCCACCACATCTCTCAGTTCCTTTCCCATCACTCTTTCCACATCCCCCCATATGGACAGATTCAAAGAGCCTTTATTGGCCCTGTCTCCGCACAGCGCAGTCGCTCGGACCCGCTCGAAGAGCCTGGAGACGCCTCTTCTGCAGCATCATCAACACATCTCACATGCCCCTGGAACTTTACCCAGAGCTGGACAGCCGTTGCTGGGAGAAGGGGAGGATCTCAGGTCCCTGGGTTTGTAGCAATTAACCTTTAAAACGGACAAGTTCCACTGGAATCTGCGTGTTGACCTGGACTCAGGACTGGACTGATAAGATAAGTGGTACTTGCACTGCCAAAGCCATGGAGCAATGGTTCCTTCGAAGATATACGTGTTCACCATTTCAGTTTTTAAGATAGTATGTTTAAAGGCATGTCTTTCAATGCTAGAAACTAAAGGGATATCTCCAATCATGAAAATTACACTAAAACAATTTGGTAGAAACAATTATCAATCTATAATTGCTAGTAAGTTTTGCAAATAATTACAAAGAAGCTGCAATTTACACATTTAATTAAATGTGAAGTTCTTGTAAAACATACTCAAAATCTGTTTTATTTACAACTTTGAAAAATATTTTTTTACAGTGTAATTTGATAACAGACAGATTACTAGGACCTAACAAACCAGCTAAAACAAATGTTTTTTGATTAAGATTCAACCCACATTTCATGTTCACTGCATTCATTATGTCCAAATACTGCTAATATTATGTCAAACTCTAGGGGCCAGATCCATAAACACAGCCACTGTCTTAAGACCTAGTCTGACCAGCTAGCACTTTATCAGTAAGCATGGTAATTAGTCTTACTTTTAATATTTAAATGAGATATATCTACCTAACTTCTAAGACTTGTCTAAGCAGTTAATAATATCATCCACAGCCTCAAAGTTTTCCTAAACTTAGAGTTTATCCATGTTATGAAATGTTCTAGATTCACTACAAGTTGAGATTTATCAACATCATCTGTGACATGCTGTCCAACGTGCTGTCATCGTAAAAACCCCTTTGACGGTATTATTCTTGTTTATTAATGTATTTCTAATGGCAGTCTATGAATAACACAAATGTACCGACCTACGGTGGTCCCACCAGTAATAGGTCAATTTACAGCTCAAATAAAAAAATTTATTGGTATGGAAAAATGTACTTGTTTTCAACCTAGAACATACCTTTAAAATTGTTGTTTTTAGTTACAATTTTCGGAAACCTTAATGCCAACGTCATGACTTTGCTCAATAAAAAGATGGGTAGAAATCTCGCAGGTCGACTGGTATGCTAATGCAGCTCGATGCTAGTTGTCTAATTCAGTAAAAGGAGAGACTCCCATATTCAGAATTTATTGGAAAAATCAGATATAATGCATGCTTACAAGTATGGGTTCTACTAATCAAGATTCATAGTGCTCGATAACTAACTTGATCCTCTCATTTAGTCAGATTAGCCATGTATGGTTCAAAAACGAAACTGCTTGTTTTAAAATGTTGTGTTTAACAAATGAACTACTTGGTGGATTGTCTGAACAATTAATCAGTCTTAAGGAAACAATCATACTTAAGAATTGTCATGTTAGGTTCTCTAATCCGACTAGTCAGGCATACGTATATGATAAGATGCTTAAAGAAACCGTCAACAATAAGATGACAGATATTCAGTAAATAAGCTAAATAACTAACATTTAATTGCACAAAACCACCAGTCCTCACATAAAAAGGAGATGGACGACTCATTATAAAGGGAACATTGCTCACAGTGGGCGATCAGAAATTTGACAGTAATTGTTTTGGAATTTATTGTGGAAGGTGGGAAATTTGTTACAGAAGCAGTGCTTTGACTGTTTGTAGACAAAACTTTTTGGAGAGGGTTTTAAAGTGCTAGCTGTATACATTTGGCTGTTACACATTTAGCATGTTAAATCACAGCACAGTGACAGCATGCTAAAAGCCTCTGAGAAGTCGCTTCTCCTTTCAAGTGCCACCGCTAATGCTAAAGACAGAAACTGGTAAAACGTTGGTACGGTTTGATCAAATACGAGAGTGCATTTGCTATTATGAACTAACAAAAAAACTATTTTTACAGCATTTATTAATCAGCAGCACGTATTTGTTAAAGTTCATGTATAAATATATTAATTCATGTTAATTCATTATTATTTTTACAACTTATAAAATTGAATATAATATTCAGTAGTAATATATAATATTGTTTTCGTCAATTAAAAATAAAGCTAAAATCAAATAAATATTAAATGTAAATGAAAAATTATGAATACAACTTAAAATTAGAAATACTGCCTCAACTAAATAAAATAAAATAATTGACAGTTGAAGTGCTAAAATTACTAAACATATATATATATATATATATATAGAGAGAGAGAGAGAGAGAGAGAGAGAGAGAGAGAGAGAGATTCAGAAAAAAATGACTAAAACTTAACTAAAAAACTTAACTAAAAAAATTAAAATAAAAAATAAATAAAAATAAAAATATAGCTAATTCAAAATATTAATAAACAATATTACACTAATCATCTAAAATAACACGGGTTGGCAGATCATTCACACAGAACTTCTCAAGAGGTTGCAGAAATCCAACCATTTGAGATGCATTTTTGCATTATGAAATTATTTTTAGAACTGCGTGCTATGTGCAAGAAGCTGCTAAAGATGCGAGTTGCGAGGGCAATGATCAAACACATCCATAGAAATACAATGGAAAAGTCACATACTGGAATGGAAAAGCGCATTCTATGTGAACACTAGTTTTACACTGGTTGTCGCCGCATCACATTGGTTGCATAAAGCAGGCAAAGAACTAATCTCTTGCTCCTCATGCAACCAGAAATCGAATGACTTCGTAAGTTCTTTCTTAAATTGTAACGTAAAGTCCACACAAGAGGCTTAGTAGCTACTAGCTAGTTTGTAACTAACTCTTTACTTTATTCCGTTGCACCATTTGTTCGTAAGGTAGAACGTAGCTAGTAAGTCGTAAACTCTCCGTAAAGTAATGCGTAGTCACATAATATGACGTTTAGCCTCGATGAACCAATAGCAGCCTTCAAATGCGTGAGCAGAAGTTGTGTGGAAATGCCGTGAATTTCAGTTTATCCTTCATTCTGACTTCTTTTGCCTCACGTTACCCTCGGTAAAAATAAGTTTCCATTGAATAACATAAGTGTTTTTATATATAAATAACATTCAGAAACTGTATTTGAAATGAAATGAATAAGCATCAATGAATAAATATTGATACAAAAAAACAAGAAATGATGTTTATTGATTATGACGGATATTTGACATGCACAACATGTACCGATGCACACAGTGGGGCTGTTTAGGAAGGGTTCGTGCTAACAAAGGAATCTTTTCACATAATGTTCTCTCTCTTAAAATGTAAGCGAGTGTAAATGTCAGCATTGTCATCGATCTGTTCATCGATCTGATATTTTATTCCAACCATTACTCCTGATCGGAGGCTGCCGTAAATATTTAGCTGGAACGTAGAGTTACGTTTAAACTAAGTTTAATGGTGCAACGGAAAAATATTTAGTAGTGCGCAAGTTGTAACTTAGTGCCCATTTACGTCCAAACTAGGCTAAGTTGTAACTTACGCACAGTTGGTGCAACCGGCCCCAGATTACTTGCAGTGTAAAACGTCTCTTAAACCTTCACCAACAGTGTCATTATCAACTTCATCAAGACCGATTGATTGTTTGCTTTACATTTAAACTCATATGAACCACGAAAGCTGGTTTTAAAACATCTTTCTGATGGTTTCCGGGATATCCCTTTAGCTTCTGTCTATTTGTTGTTTTTAATTGCATGATTCTGAAGAGGGTGGAGAGTATACCCTTGCAGTAGGTTGTAGAGACACCATGTAGGGTTGTACAGTAGACACCATAGAAGCATGAAGGTCATCTTGACACACACTCTTTTGTCATCTTTTGTCCTCTGCTTGGCCTTCAGGGCCGGATGGAGGAACAGAGGGGGCGAGTCTTACACGATGTGCGTACGCTGTGTGCGAGTGCATGTTCTTGACGATGCGTGCGAGTGCATTTGTGGGGGAAGCAAGGTTAGAATACTGTAGCCAAGTACTAAAGGGGTATTTATGACAAAGGTTTCTGAAGGAATGGGATCTGGGGCATGAGGGATGGGGGTGGGATGGTCCAACGGTGGAGTTTATTATTAGTAGAAGTTGAATTGACATGGGGAAAGGGGGGGGGGATTTCTGTGTGTTTGCTCTTTAGGACTGGTCTTGGGGGATTGGTTGCCGGTGGCAAAGTGGCCCCTGCTGTCAATCGTCTCTCTCTGGCACTGATGTGGTCTGTCTGCTTTGCCTGTCTCTCTCTCTCTCTCTCTGTCTGTCTTTCTCTGCTCACTTTTCTCCCATTTCACAGTCTTAATCTGGGAACATATTGCAACCCTCCTACTCCTGTTTCCACCATTGACCTTATGTAGTCATTCATTTAAAGGGATAGTTCACCAAGAAATGAATTTTGTCATCATACTCACTCTCATGTCCTTCTAAACCTGCATGACTTTCTTTCTTCGGTGAAACAATCAAAATGAATAAATACATGTTTAAGAACATTTAAGATGTTATTTTCCATAAATTGAAAACATACTCTGAAGCTTTAAAAGACTTAAGTTATGTACTACTAATCTTCCTGTCCACTTAATATTAAAATGTTATTTTTAATTTGTTAAATTTCAGTTTAGTTTTCATCTTTTTTCTGATTTTCAGATTTCTGTTGATTGATTTTTATTTATTTATTTGTGTTATTTTAGTTTCAAATCCTAAAAAATGTAAATGTGAATACTAATGTATTTTAGTTTAGTTTGTGTATTTTGGATCCGTTTTACATTTATTTATTTGTTTATTTATTTATTTGAGATCATTTTTGTTTTATTTGTTGTTTTAGTTAGCTTTGGAGTCATTCAATGGGTTTTAGTTCCTTTTTTTTAATGTTCAGAATTATAATATTGATTTGATGTTAATGCCACCAAATTGTATTGTTTCTTAAGTTTCTCTTAACCAAACAAATTAAATTTAAGAAGAAAATTAAATGTATTCGTTTCAAAAATATGCGGTGTGTGTTAGAAAGAAAGTCTACATAATTTATTGATGATATCAGAATTTTTATTTTGTGGTGAACTGTCCACTTAACTGTTCAACTCTCATTCTGTATGCATTCTATATATTTTATACAGTCTCGTTTTCCCTGTTATTGGAAAACTGCATGTCAGGGTGACTGATATAGCCAATACCTTATTTACTCTTCTTGACGTTTCAGGTATAATATCATGACATTTTTTTAATCTTTTTAAAAGTGTTTATTTTATAATATAGCATCTGAACCGGCCCCCAAAATTCTTCATCACTGTCTTGAGTCAGCTTGATATTTCCTCCCACAATTCTAGACAGACTGTGTCTTCTTGCCCCTTCTTACAGAACTCCTCCTCTCCATCCATCCGACAGTCACAGGAAGGCGATATGCCAAGCTTAAGCAAGGGGGTTTACATTTTTATATTTCCTTGAATGTATCTCAATCAAAGGTGTATTTTTGTACCTCTAAAATCAGAGGAAAGCTTCTGAATTGTGAAAAGACTGCGGGGATGTTTGGCTATTGGAGGAATTGTGGGAATCATATTCCAATGCAACAACGAATCTCGATGCAGCTGTCTCACTGTCTCGATGGCTTTGTGAAACTCTCCTCTCTCCAATACTACTGGGAATGTAATCATGTTATTTAAATTCTTTTTGTTTTGATATTATTAGAAAAAAACCTGTAATGCAAATAAATGACTAGCTATTGGACTAACGCAGATTTATTATGCATGTTTCCTACCCTTGTTCTGACACAAATGTATATCATCAGAGGCTGACGTCAAGTTCAAATCAGTGCCTCATTTTTCAAAGGTAATGTTGAACATATGCCAATAAGCTAACATACAACATAATATTGAATAGTCGGGAATAATGTTTAAATAAAAGTCATGCTTATAAATTATAATAAACCATATATAAATACATTATTATAAAATAACATTATGTTTTTTAAAGCTTTTTTTTTGAACTCGGTCATCATCAGTAATCTGTTGTTGACCTTTTTTATTTTTTCGTTTCATCTTCCACTCTGGAAGTTTATGGCAGCCCATAGAACCACTTGCGGGAAAATTCTGAAATTTGACACACAGATAGAGAACAGTCTGAACTGTCACCATTAAAAATGTTAAGTCTCTAACTCAATCCCTCTAGCGCCACCAACTGTCCAAATTTGCACTTAAGTTTATTCTAAATAACTTTTAGTCCTTGGCTCATGACGATTTGTACACCATGACTAGTCTGGGTTTCCCCATGCTGCCTTCCCGCAGCGTGATTTTATTCACGCTGAAAGGCAGTATGGAGACCATGGTCCAGATATTCGCCTCATTTAGGGAACCAATCACAGAACGGGGAGGGAGCAGCAAGACGATGACGACATCTATGTGACACACCGAAGCAGTTTGTTTATATCTATGGATTCAAGATGGCAGCAGACGCGAAGCTACCTTTTGATGCAACCTTAGATATTGTTCTAAGTAGTTTAGAATGCACGTTTATTTTGAAAAAAACAGCAGCTTTTGGCGTTAAACTTCGCGAGACCCCAACCTTGGAATATCTGCCGCTCAGCTGTGTCCCAAGAAAGAAAATGCGCTAAAAAATTGTTGATACCAACTTCTGTTCGGCAGTCCCGAGGCCTGGATGAGTGCAAAGTGGCAAGACATGTTAGCCACGGAGTTGTATAGTACCAACCTGCTAGGCATCGTCGTCGATGAAGTCCATTTAACTTATAAGTGGTAAGTGTTATTTATTAATATCATATTGTCATTATGCTTGTAGACTACCTACTGTGGTTGTCACAGTGCCACTAAGTTGTGTTGCTTTTCAATATCAAAATACAGCTACCGCTTTAGTAGCATAACTTTCAGCTGTGCACACGTACCCGATTAAAGTTGTTGACACTTTAGTCATTAAATTACATTTTTAAAATTGTTAAACTTGTGAAGTACAAGCGCAAACAATTTCGAATGCAAATAACAACTCCAACATCTATGTTAAACTGTACTTAAAGGAACACTCCGACTTTTTGGGACTTTAGCCTATTCACCTTACCCCCCAGAGTTAGATAAGTCCATACATACCTTTTTCATCTCCGTGCGTGCTATAAGTCTGTTTGACGCACCCACCGCTAGCCTAGCTTAGCACAAAGACTGGA